ATAAGCTAATGCCTTCCTCCATGAGGGGCATGCAGATAATAACCCTTGCCTTGGCTCTACGTTTAGAGAAGGGACTCTCTCCCTGGGATCCTTTTGGATAGTAAGTTTTCTTCTTCATTCCAATTACTTGTAGTTTCCGTTCCATCGATTATTTTTCCAATAGCCGATTACCCATTTTTCCCCCAATCTGTTCATTTTGTATCATTGGTCCGACCTGCCGGATTCCAATGGAGACACGTTTCCAAACCCGAATTGAGAACCATGAGAGCCAGATCCATCAATTACAGACGGACGTACAGGAGATTAAAGCTTCGTTGAAGGCGATGGAGATAGATCAGGATGAGGATAAGGAATTTCGAGCGTACGTGATGGCGTGGGTGAAAAGCCAACAAGGTAAGAACCCAGAAATGGGGGATACATCTGGATCGGGAGTACCTCCTCCTCCTCGTACTCCTTCCTTCAATGTCAATCTCGAATCCGATTGTTCTAATTCAGTTCCCTATTGTGTGGCTAAGAAGGTGAAACTTCCAGAATTTGGGGGATACGATCCTCGAGGATGGATATCGAATGCTGAATTATATTTCGAGATCCATGGCACCGCACCCGACTTGCGTATCCGGTTGGCCCAACTGAGTATGACCGGAGTAGCTCAACATTGGTTCACAGTGGTGAAGAACATACATGATAATCTGAGTTGGGAACAATTTACGCGCGAATTGTTGCAACGATTTGGGGGTCTCGACATACAGAATCCGTATGAGCAGTTGGCTACCATTAAGCAGGTCGATTCTGTACACGATTTCATTGACGATTTTGAATATTTGCTATCATTAATTCCTCGACTCCCTGAATCTCAAGCATTGGGCTACTTCCTAGCGGGATTGCGTCCTGAAATTAAACAATGGGTGAGGCTTCAGCGTCCTCAAACCCGTCTCGATGCTATGTACATAGCGAATGACGTGGAACAGATGTTGAATCCTTCAGATTGTACTCGGCTTAATGCGAGGTTTCGATACCAGACTCAGCGGCCGAATTCTGATTCTACATTTGTTGGCTCGTCAATAGGCCCAATGGGCTCAAACATATCGAAGGCCCAGTCTGGTAACCCTATTTTTGAACGATGTATGTTCAATAAAGGGAATTTGGTGACTAAAGCGTCATCAATGGCATCGGTGGTCAATTCCCATCGCACGGAGGCTGCTCAAACATCCGGTATTCGGAATCGTGGGATCAGGACGTTGTCACGAACAGAATGGGAGGATCGACGTCGGAAGGGGTTGTGTTTCAAATGCGGGCAACAGTTTGGTCCTAACCACAAATGTCCGGAAGCAAATCTCCGGGTGTTGTTGTTAGCGGATAATGAGGAAGACGAGCAGAATGGAGAACATAATCAGATTAATCTTCCAGAGGAGGTCGTTAACGAAGGTGAATTAGAAACGGGAGAATGTTCAATTATGGAGTTCATGGGTGCAAGTGTTGTTTTGAAACCCAAATTACA